TCACCATCTTTCACCCGATGTATAAACGAGCGAGCCCTCCGCTGCTTCACCTGTGCATGGAAAAACTTAGAATTGGCATCCCCCTCCCGAAACCACCGCAAGCATGCCTTTTGACGCCAAAAGCCCGCATCGGTAAGCAACGATTGCTTGAGTTCACCCTGAGCCTGTACCAGCTGATATAGCCCTTCCTCCGATGGACCCTCCTCTAAAGAGCATTCCAGAGCCGAGACCTTAGCCTCATGCTCCCTCACACGATCAAATATATTCCCAAAAACCTCTTTATTCCATCTGCGCAATGCCTGCTTTACCGCTTTTAGCTTCCTGAGAAGGACTTTAATCGGCCGCCCCTCCCCCTCCCCCTCCCATGCCTGCCTAACCACACTCTGGAACTCAGGATGCGACCTCCAAACATCAAGGAATCGAAAACTGGTAGGAACCCCACCCCTCGCCATAGAGCAAGAGACTAACAAAGGAGAGTGATCTGAAGCAACCCTACTCAAATGGGCAACCGACGTGGTAACCGCTAGGTTCAACCACTCCTGGTTAACGAAAACCCTATCTAAGCGCTTCCAAACCCTGGCTCTGCCCCACCGGTTGTTACACCACGTAAACTGGGATCCAGTGAACCCCAAGTCTGCCAAATCAGCATCCTCAATAAAGCCTAGGAAGGAGTCCGACTCCCGCGCACAAAAAGGACGCCCCCCTTTCTTTTCATTGGCACCAGTAATAACATTGAAATCTCCTAGAACTATCACCGGACCCCCTCGTGGGCAGACCCCCACCAACTGACGCCAGAGCACCTCACGCTCTTGGGTAACACACGAGGCATGAACAAAAACCGCAACAAAGGAACTCCATAAGACGGAGTGAGTCACTCGCAGCGCCAAAAACTGAGACGAGGTAGCCAACAAGTCGCAACTGAAGTCATGGTCAAACATCACCCACAACCTGCTCTCCGCATTAGAGAAAGCCTGGGGGAAACCTAACTTTCGACGAATAATATCAAGACGCACGCGACCCACCTTTGGTTCGCACAAAGCTAACAAAGAGATCTTATGCATCCGCTTCAACTTCCTCAACCGAGCTATGGTAAGGGCATTATCCACGCCCCTAACATTCCAGAAGAGGGCTTTAATCATGAGCGCGGTCTTAGAAAATAAGGAGGGGGCGAACCACCCTTCTTCCTGTCACGACGACTCACTACCATATGCCAGTTTCCAGAGTCCCTCAACCCCTCCAACCCCTGCTGCGAAACCCCCAAGGCCGAACCTGTTTCCACGCTGGCCTTACGAGGTGACAAGTTGAGATTCGCAACCATAGCTCCCTGTTGATCCCCCACCTCCACCCAAACCTGGTCCACCAGAATTGGAGCCGCTAGGCCCCCATTCTCACAACCCAAAGCTGCCGTGTCCGCCTCCTCCAACACCTCCTCAGGTTCATGAATCACTTGGTCTGCCAGCGTGTGAATGATAGAATCAGCAGCCGCCTCAACTGCCCCCTCCACCAGCGCCGCAGCAGACAGACCAAACTGCTGAAGAAAAACATCACCATCCCGCACTTCTCCTGATAGCGTCCCAACCTCAGGAGGTCGCAACGCATCCGCGCACTCCACCTCCAGACATTCAGTTACAGCAACACTCTGCAGCATCACAACATCCCCCACCGTATCATGAACAGCACCCTAGTTTCTTATGCCAAAAATACTTTTGACTAGAATAATTCTTGGTGAATTTCACTAGTTTCATACTTGAACTTTGGAACCTTAATTTTGATATTTTTCTATGAAAATAAGTGAACTTTAAACGAGTTTTTAACTCCATTAGTTTGGATGATGTGCATGCTCCTTGCCTTTTTAGGTTTGGACACGATGAGACTTAAAGTTTTAGGAAATGAAAATCATTTACCCTTTTTTCTCGATTTTCGTGCCGAAAGTGAAAACGGTACTATCTTTTGGATTTGAGATTTCTTATCATGACTTGAATCAAAAACCACTTTCGATCTCTCTTGAGCATTATTTTAACGATTTAGCTAGAAAAATTTCTTTAATTTAGCTCGAACTTGTGACTTGGAGAGTAAATAGATTAGTGTACAAGTGTAATATATGATACATAAACTTGCCGAGACGAGGGTATACTTTATCGCTCTCGTTCTCTCCCTCTTTTAATTATGTGATACTCGTTACATGAACATATATGATTAGTAATTGTACATATGATTGGTAATTGTACATGAATATGTTTAACTTGTAAGCTCTGAGTGGATGCATGTACCACACTCTGTTCGGGTGGGAGGTGCCTCTTATACCATCTTAGTGCTATAAGCGGTTTTCTGAGCGATAACATGTACCACACCAATTCGGGTGAGAGGTACCTCTCATACTGTCTCAGTACTATAATTGGTTCTCGGAGAGATAGCATGTACCACACCAATTCGAGTGGGAGGTACCTCTCATGTCGACTCAGAACCATAAACAATGATTGGTAATTGTACATATGATTGGTAATTATACATGAATATATTTATAGCATGCCAAAAACGTATCTCATCTTTGACTGCCACCTATACTCTTGAACAAAATGGCCTCAATAAATTAATCTCTACACACATCCTAGCCACACTAGGACGCATGCCTGCTACAGTTGTTGAATCCAGAAAAAGGGGCTTTCCAACTGGGGATAATATTGCAAAGAGCGACTGCTTGTCCAAGTAATGAATCGGTAAGGCTAGTGGCAAAACCCATACCGGAACCAAAGATGATTCCTTATGAGCATGAAAACCTTGAGTCCAACGAAAAACACGCATAGGATATTTTCCCAATTGCCAAATCTCCCATGTCCAAATTCAATTGAAATCTACTTCAACCAAACATGACGAGCGCGGGGTATATATATACAGTTAGCTCATCTACAGTCAAGTTTTACATTTATAAATCCTTAATAACCCACATGTGATTTTTCTGCAAGTATACAGTTTGTTTATTGAGCATAGGGGTATTAGATGTCAATCCCACAGGGAAGAGTGACAATTACCGACGTTTTTTGAACTCTTTTATTATTTAGACTATCACAAGTACAAGAAATTAAATCCACACTATAAGAGTAACAAAAATACTCTAGAAAACTCCTAGAGGCATGGAATTCCTTACTACTCTTGAAAATGACATTATCAGTTAAGTGAATGCTATTATTTTGGCTAATTATGGCGTAATTTTCTAATGTATGTGAAATCTACTCTCATAGTGAATCAATTATACTTATAACTAAACCATACCGGATGCCTTTAACATCATCTAGATTGGCTTTCAGTTGATAGTAGCCTCTATTTATAGGCTAAAACTTTAGGAGTATTAAAATATCACCATTAAATGGAATAAATATGTCATATTTTCATTTACAAAATTTAAAAAATTCTAGGTTCATTGTATAATAGTCAAAATTCACTAAATAAATTCTTAAAACCTAATCATTACATAGGTTACAAATACAAGGCATAAATCTCATAAGTTACCCTTTTGAATGGTTGATTTTGTAACTGAAAATTCATTAAAGAATTTGTAACTTATTGCATTTGAATTCAAAATATAAACATGTGAATGAATTCAAAATAGTAATGATATTTTTATTAAAATATCCAACACTTCTCTTGGAAAGAAATTTAAGTGGTCTAAGCCATCAAACTTCCAACAGTGAAGCTTCCAACTACACAGAGATTGAGAAAGACAGAGCTCTTAGACACATAGTTGACAGCTTGCACTAAAACTACCATCATATCATAGAGCAACTAACGTTTTATACCTTGAGTTTCTATCATGGCGAATATTAACAGCAATTTTCTGGTGGTTATGCTGTTACGGGTGCTCTTTCAAACAAAACTGAAAAGCCAAATTGAGAATATGATTACATATGCAAAAGAAGTACTATCAAGTTGACTAAGTAAGACATACTTTCAGTTCTTTTAGCCGTTAGAGTTCTTGCGCACGGACAAGCAGTGCAAAGTTTGGCTGTGATGAGATAGGAATTAACACTGGGGAAGCTCTGGAAATAGGCACCTAGATCGGAGAGGTTCATAACATATGTGTTCTTCAAATGCCACTACTAGCTAATGACATGAGAAAAACAACCCAAGCTATCTATATGTTGGATGATTAGCTATTTTTGGTATGTAGGCTGCGAAATTGAAATCGCCAAGTTGAGATTTCTCCACCTCAAAGGTGGAATATATCATAATTGAGGCCAAATGTCTCAATCACAGGTGAAATAATTTGACGAATTGAAATCCTCACTATCACTTTTTTCGGTGGTAATTCAGTGCAAGCCACTTTTTAAATTATATCAAGTGTTCAGTTAATTTAAATTAGCGCGTAATATCTAATCTTAAATTAATTGGACACTTGGTATCGGATGAAGGAGTGGCATCAAGTTGTCACTGATTAAATAGCACTGAGGATCTGATTTGATAATTTGAGAAGAGAATCAATCCATGCACCAGATTCTTTACGGATATTTTGACCTTTCTAGTAACTGGGATGAGCCTTCGGCGGCATCGTGTTCTTTTGAATTGGAAAAATGAGTCCTTTTGAATTGGGAAATATCTCATTTTCTTGTTTTTAATTAGAAGCTCTATCAAGTTGCCACTTTTAGAGTTGCATTTCCACCAGGAAGCACAAGGGAAAAAGGGCTGTTTGAAGTACCTAAAATACAAAATATTTCCATGACCTACTGGTAAGAGATCCGGTCAGTTAACAAATAATCCAAAAATCAGCAGTTAATGCAACCAACCAGTATCCTTTCCGACCATCTCTCTGTTTTTTTGGCCTTGTCCTTTCCCCCGACATATAAGGTTCATCTCTGGCCATCATTCGTTCCATTAAGCTGTTGCATGGAAGGCTTTTTTCATTTACCAAACCTTTTCTGTTTTATTCAGTTACTTTTTCCTGTTTTGATAAAATTTTTCTTGGTGTCCAATGACCTTGATGAACAAGGCACCACAGAAATCAGCTCTGTTATACTGAAACAAACTTTACCTCTTACTGAACTGCCTGATGAACAGACAATATTAACTACAAAAGTGTTACACCAAACAATTTTAGAGACCATGGGAAAGGGCAAACAAATTAGTCGTCAACTAATGATGCAAACTTTCCAAAGCTGAAACATAGCAAGATGAAGATTTACAAAGTGAGCATCCACTGACTTGATTGAGACAATCTGAAACCTGAGTCTCAACAATTGATGAGGACCTTTAAGTCATCAATCCCCAATCCCAGTTGTTCCTCCTTCAGAATTCTGACTGACTCTTCGGCTGAGCTTCGACACAGTTGCATCTCAATCATGACCAATGTAGGGATATCTGCAAAACCAGAGGGAACCTCCTCAAGGTGCCTGCAATTCCGCAGCACAAGTTGTTGCAGCTTGGGCAGGTGATCAGCAGAGGCATTCCATTGAGCAATGTTTAGAGTGTCAAGTTTTAAAAATTTAAGCTTAAGGAACTCTCCTTCTTTCATGTTCCATCTTTCACCCTCAAAGGCTCTAGAAAGTAATTTGAGAACCTCAAGGTTGGGTAACCTCCCAATCTCTGAAACACAATCCCATGGTAGGCAAAATTTTGACAGAGTCAACTTTTTAAGATTCAAGGGGAAGTCAAATTTACGAGGATGACAAAATCTTCCGGAATATGTTACCTTGAGTGCTTCAAGTTGTGTTAGAAAGCCCAAGAGTGGGAACCCATAGCCTTTACCAGTATCAACTTTAGATTCTGAGAATATGCATCCCAGTTTCTGGAGTTGGGGTAACTGCCTCATCAACTTCTCTGTTTCCTCCCCAGAAAAGAGAACTGGGGAGGAAAGAGTAACAAGATTATCTAACTGAGATGAATCTTCTTTGACGAAACTAAAGGAAGTAAAGCTCTTTACATGCACATGTCTCAACTTCACCATGCTCCAAAACGTATGCGGCAGATCAACTTTACCTTTCAATCCCCTCACAAGCAAAGTTTCTAAATTCCAGAGGCAGGATATTGATGCTGGAATAGAGTCTAAGTCACCACAAACAGCTAAATACCTCAAATGAACCAAATGTTCCAATCCCCTAGGGAAACAATGGCCCATGTTGATGCACTCTAAATCCAACACCCTGAGAAGTTTAAAATTGTCTGTTATGAAGCCAACGTTGTAAGGACATCGTGGATACATATCATTGGTGGCAAAAAAGAGTAAAGAGCGCACACATGGCCCAGAAGGCATTGACATAGCAAAATGCTTTCGTCTTGAACAAATAGACAGCCGATATTTTTTGTATGTAATGGAAATTGAAGGATGACAATAACCAGGATCAACACCATAATCTAAATTCTCATGGGAAGAAGCAAAAAGTTCATCATACCCAGTTATCGAATGCAAAAAGTTTTGCTCTTTGCATCTAACTAAGCACAAAGCACGCAGCATGTCATGAACATGGCGTGTTTTGACTCCACCATTGGACTTTCTTTTGGAAGCTATTACTAGGCTTCTACCAATTAGATCATTCAAGTATTTCTCTGCCAGGTGTTCTAAACTGTCTAGCTCTGGATTCTGTACAAAACCTTCAGCTATCCACAGACGTGTCAACTTTGAAACTGGAATTTCTCTATCCTTCAAGAACGCTCCAAGGTACAGAAAGCATGGCTTCAGATAGGTTGGCAAATGTGAGTAGCTTAGCTCTAAGATGTCCATGCACCTCATTTCTGGATCATCAGCAATGCATGAGCTTAAAGTTCTCGCAACTGTTTCCCACCAATCTTGCTTCTTGCCAGTTCTCTGAAGGAGACCAGATATTGCAACAACTGCAAGAGGTAAACCTTTACAACCTCTGGCTATTTTCTTTCCCAGGTTCACCAATTCATCAGGACAATCTTTTCGATTGAAAAGCTTCTTCTGCAATAAATTCCAACTTTCATCATCAGAAAACAGACGAAGTGAATGAGCTATACTATCAGATTTTGTCGTCAAAGCTACATCAGTAAGACGACTTGTAATCAATATTCTGCTTCCATTTTTGTCATCCGGAAGTGAAAATTCTAAGTCATTCCATGCCTCTCTGCTCCACAAATCATCCAAAACTATGAGGTACTTTCTGTTCTTTAAACATTGGTACAACTTGAACTCTAAATCATCCTCACTCAGTTCAAGAACATCATTAGTAAGTTCCATAATGTCACTTAATATGTTAAGTAACAATTCTCTTTTACGATACACTTGAGAAATATAACACCATGCCCGAATATGGAAGTGATAGGTAATCGAAGGATCATTGTATACCTTTTTAGCCAGAGTGGTCTTACCTAGTCCAGGCATGCCAACAATTGAAACGACTTGTTGTTGCAATGTTCCTCTTGTAAGTCGATCCATAATCAGTTCAGCCTGATCATCAAGATCAATCACAACTTCATCCACATTGGGCACAATAGCTGGTGAGATTAAACTTCCCGAAGTATGCACAACATTATGGACCTCAATACTATACATCTTATCAAAGATTGCTGAAGCCTGAAGTTTTATGACTTTAAACTCCTCTATGAGATCAGAAAACCATAGTGCATGATACCATTCAACACAACCGCCAACCAGTATTTTGTCAATAAAATACTCTGTCTCATATGCCATATCTATTACGCATGAACGGAGATCATTCAAGTCTGAGTGCTCATTATACTGCTCAATTATATTCTTGAGAAGAGATCTCATGATCTTCACCTGTCTGGATAGGGCTTCAACATAATGCTTCATGCAAGCATTAGAATCGAATTTATCAATAAACCGCTTCCCCAGATCTTTTTTCCTGTAAAGCACTCCCAGATTTCCCAAGAGGAAGTCCATAAATCCCACTCCATTAGTCCTGGGGAAGTTATAATCCATTGAGCTTCGTTGTTGCAAATAAATATTTTTGATCTCTTCCCTGAGGGGTTTAATCCTTTTTACCAACTTAGGGAGTAAAAGATTTATATTCCCAACCAAATCTTCTCTAAAGTTGCTGGCAAGGAATGAGTCATAGAGAGATCTTACAAATTTAGATACTGATACAACCCCAGACAAGAGCTCCTCATTCTTCTCTCCTGGACCCATTAGAAATGTTCTGATCAATATTAGCCCCCCATAAATGGTTTCAATGTTCTCCCTATCATGAATCATTAAATCTGAATAAGGTTGACTATTAAGTAGCTCCGTGAAAAATGCCTCAGTCAGGAAAACTTTAAGCACCTCAAGCACATCACGATGCCTGCGTGCAAATGATTTGCCTTTCAATGAGCTAACAGCAAACCTTACCTCCTTAGCCAAAGCTGAAATATGGATCCAGATTGTCTTATTGCTTTCAGTTTTTCCCTGTGGTGAATCTGTCAGAAGTTTTCTCAACAATTTCAGTCCCTCCCGATGAGCATCAATCCTCTCCTCATAACAGACTGTTGCATCTTCTGGTTTCAATACCACACTGAGGAATGCCTCAGCCTTGAGAAGCTCCATTTTCGAATGCAACTTATACAGTGCAACCTCATTCTTTTCATCCATATTCTCGGTCATTGAGCAGCCGATAGATCCAATCTGGATGGCCACTACGACAACATCCCTCAAGAGCAACTGCACCTCATCCTTATTGAACAACGCGTCACATGAATCCAACAGAAATAATATGAATTCAACAAATCCCTGATTGATTATTTCCAGTTGTTGATCCTTCTTAGGAACAAGAAAATCAACAAAGTAATCAACTACTTCTGCCTTTGCCCAGTCTGGGTATGACTTTATGCCTCTGAGAACATTGAGATAAATATCTGCAACTTGTGGAGTATTGAGCTTCAACTTCTTTTGCAGATCACTTAGCATCACAACCCTGTCTGTAAACAGGGAAATCTTTTCATCATCCATCTTATCACACCAACAAGAATAAGAAAGATGTGCTGCCTGGAGACCAAGCTCTGCAAACTGCACCAAAACATCGCTCTCGACAAAATCTGCACCACGAATGCTCCACCATGCTAATTCTTTGAAGGGTATGACATTTTCTTCAAGGGCCATCAATTCTCTAACCAAGACAGGATCAATTAACTTGTACTTCCCATGGAGAAGATCCTTGAGATTCTGCTCCAAAGAGTCAAAGAACTCATTCCATTGACGAGACTTGGTCAGGGGAGGAGGCTCTGATTGGAACGAATAGTTGGTCACGTACTCATAGATTTTCATAACTTTTCGCCTGAAAAAGGTAATCTTTTCTTGTAGTTGAGCAATTGCAGAATCCAAGAATTCAGCACTTCTTTCATACCCTTTCTGATAAGAAGCAGTGCTGAGATCCCTTTTGACAACAGAGAGTGCAGCTTCAAATTCAGCATCAAGGACCAAAAAGTCAGCCTGAATCATGTCATCAGTGTCCCTCCAATTTCCTACGTATTTGAGAAATGTTCTCAGAAGTCTTAATTCAACCTTGAGGTTTTCAAATGGATCACGAAATGCATCTTCTTCTTCAGCAGCATCATCACCATCATTCCCCCATGTCCCCTCCAGCACCTTGAGGATATAATCAACAGAATTGAAAGTTTTACTCATCTTTAATACTGATCACTAACCTTTTCACTTCTCACAAGATCATACAAGAAAGCGAAAGAAGCGGCACTATCTCTGTCTCTATCCGATTTCCCAAATCCCAACTTGAAGCAATATGACTCGCAAGTGGGTTGACCTATGGTCAACTCAGTCAGAGTCACAACTAGTTGACTTTCGTACTGTTTGTGTCAAAATACTAGTCCGCGTTTATTTTATGCTTAAATAAATACAAGTTGCCCCTGTAATCATAAGCAGCAATTGATTCCCTGAACTGGCGAAATCTATAAATTATCCTCTGATGACCAAAAATCATATTTTTGGGATAATAAAAAGATAATAATGCTCACAGTTGAAGGAAATTTGTCTCTTTTTTTTTTGGCACTTTCTGCTTCTTCTTCTCTTCTTTTTGTTTATTATGTTTAAATTTTTTTTCCTCCTTCTCTACTCCTATTACTGCATATAAATTTTGATAATAATGTGCTAAAGAATTTATTTTTACAGTTAAATACATGCCATTAATTTCTTATTAAAAAAATTCAATCATTATATAAGAAATTATAAAGCATATACTTTATAAACAAAACTTAAGTATTTCACATTCACACTAATGATTTCTTATTACATATAAATTTTTGGCTAAAAGTCATGATGAATTAATTTTTCAATCTAAGTCATCGGGTAGAATAAGTTTTCTAGGTTTCCAAAATTCAGCCAAGATCCTTAAAGTTTTCAGCCACTAATCCGTAGTTTTTGTGTCTGAATTCAGTTGAGTTGAGCCATATTTGTTACAACCAAAAGCTACATTAAAGTGTGACTTGTTTGAAAGCTAAATTTGATTACTCTTGGACTTTTCTAACTTCTTCGAGGGTGAAATCAAGGGCCATTGAGAACATTTTGGTGAGCTTCTTGGAGTGTTTCGAGTGTAAAAATGAGAGCGAGAGTAACTAGGTAAGGGAGTGAGCAGGAATATTCTTGTTTTTATCACTAACTCTATTTTGCAGGTTTACTTCCAAGATGTCTAACAAAGGAGGAGAAAGCTCTCAACCTTTGACTTCGAAACTTTTGCAGAATCTTTGAGAGGTGACATGGGCCGAATCATGGACCAGAAATTGGAGGTAATTCATAAGAGGATTGATCAACTAGAATCTGCAAAAAGTGCTAGCAAAGGAAGCGGGGGTAGAACACCATTACATGAATCTGAGAATTCTAATTCGGATGACGAGGTGGAGACTAGGCCGAGGAGGAACAAGAGGAATTTGAGAGTTGAATCTGATGCTATAAAAGGAGTCAAAATGAAAATTCCCTCCTGTCAAGAAAGATCTGATCCGGATGCTTATCTAGAGTGGGAGAAACGTGTAGAATTCATCTTTGACTGTAACTCCTACACTAATGAGCAAAAGATGAAACTTGCCATAATGGAGTTCACTGAGTGTGCTATCATATAGCGGGATCAAATCACTAGCAGTTGGAGATGGAGTGGAGAATTGCCAGTAAGTACGTGGACGGAATTAAAGGTTCTCATGAAGAAACGCTTTGTTTCTAGTCATTACTATCGCGACTTATATCAAAAGTTGCAAAACTTGACTCAAGGGAATAGAAGAGTTGAGGACTATTACAAGAAGATAGAAATCTATATGCTTTGAGTTGACATTGTAGAAGATAGGGAGGCTACAATAGAAAGGTTTTTGAGTGGATTACGACCAAAAAATACGGACCAAGTTGAGATGCATCACTACGTTGAAATTGGTGATATGTTGGAAAAAGCAATCAAGGCCAAGAGGAGGTTAAAGAGGAGGGGCAATTGAGATCAGCTCCTAGTCCTTCACTATCTTATTCACGCACACCACAAGATAGGTGTGATGAAAGGGCTACAACCAGACATATACCCTTCTCGAACCAAGACCTACTTTGTCAAAAGGGGAAGCAAAACCGATCGCTAAGCCTTCTAATGAGACACCGAAACCGAGACAAATTGATACTAAGTGTTGGAGATGCCAAGGGCTTGGACACATTGCGAGTCAATGTCTTAATCAAAGGGCAATGCTTGTACTTCCAAGTGGAGAAATTGTGATAGGCGATGAAGAAGAATATAAAGACATGCCATTACTAGTTGAGGAAGGAGATGATTCACAAGAAATGATTAGTTTAGGCTTGGTTACAAGGAGAACTTTGGCTGTGCATGTTAAAGACTGATATGCGCGGGGTATGCATACAACAATAAAGTTCAATCCATAGTCAAGTTCTAAATTTATAATCTCCTAAATTACGCCACATGTAATTTTTCACAAGTATACGGGTTGGGCGAGTATAAGGTAATTAGGGTCAAACCTACAAGAAAGACGAACAATTACCGGAACTACTAAAGCTTCTCTATTATTTACATTACCAACAAATTAAAATCAACAAATCTAAACTACTAATGGGAAGAAAATACAAATAAAAGCTCCCCGGGTAATGGAATCCCTATCTACTCATACTAGTGCAACTTCTTGACTAATTGAGTACTAAAATTTCGGTTAAATAATGGTGTAATTTCCTAGTGTACGTGATATCCACTTTTGTCGATGTACCAACTATACCTATAGTTAATCCATACCTACTTTCGTATTTATGAAATCAACTATAAGTTCATTTACTTCTATGAAATTACTACAAAACAAGCCATAACGGTGCACCTCTACTTTCGTGAGTGTACTCCCTAAATTTAACACTTTCATGAACTAGCGTCAAATTCTAATTTTCACTGCAAATCTAACACCTTGAGATTATCACAATTAGTCGCCAGTTAATCATGATTTTGAGAACAAAAGTGCTAAATAACTCAATCAAGATAATACCCAAAATAATCAAGAAATCAACACATAGCAATCATAGATAGTTCAACCAAATATCCAAGGTATAAACTTCAAAACAACATCAACAACATAGTATCCAAACTAGTAGATGCACTAAACATGGAGTTAAAGGAAAGAGGATAACCCTTGTCACTACAGCCTCCACCGTGCCCCTTCTTCATCCCAATCTTCCTCCTTGCTCAGCTTTTACAAGAATAGATACATGATACAAATCCTAAACTAGTCCTACAAACTAAGAGAAATGGAAAAGGCTATAAGTGTGGTGGGTTTCTGTGTTGCCTCAAATGGCAAGACACAACCCTTTTTGTTTCTTTATTTTGCTCCAAAGCTCTCTCCCTCTCTAAAACTAACTGGAAACTAAAGGCTTCCAAAAGCTCCTTCTAAGACAAAAAGCTCCTCTATTTATAATCTTCAAGATTTCTTGAATCTTCCACAAGAAGCTTGGCTTGGTCTTGAGGAGTCAAGATTGTGAAATGTAATGACACAAAATTGACAAAAGTTGATGTCTTAGACCCAAAAAGTTGCTGCCAAAACATCATAGATGCTGCAAGAAAGAAAGATGAAAAGATATTTGCAAGTTGTGCAAGTTGCACAAATTGCAGATTTCTCAAGTATACGACGCGGTATCTAAATCGAATTTCACTATCCGGCGCCGTATACTGTTAAACACTCTTTTTCGAAAAATCTTTTAACGAGTATTTGGTATGATTATCTGACTTCACGCCCTCAATATGACGTTGTATACTGCTCAACACCTTTTTTGTTGCAAGACCTTCTAGCAGGTATCCGGTTTGATATTTGATTCGAAATTCACTGTCCAACCCCATATACTCTCATCTAATCTGATGATGACTTTTTGTAAACGGCCCCGTATTGTCCTTGCTCCTTCATCCCTACCAAAATATGATAAACATTAATAACTAAAAAGGACGAATTCACTAGTCTTCTCAACATTATTCAAAGGCATCAAATATTATCAAAATGGTCACTCACATTACCTTAGGAGCTCAGAATTAACTATAAATAAATTAAAATATGCATAAATTATTAGGTAAAATGGACACTTGTCAAAGATGATGTTACTTAAAGGGAGAACATATTCTATACTCGTTGTCACATTAAAGGCAAAGTGTGTAGTTTAGTCACTGATCTGGGTAGCTGTGCGAATGTTGCAAGTGTGTTGATGGTTGAAACATTGGGCTTGGAGGCTCATGAGTATCCTAAGCCTTATGGTTAACAATTGTGATGACATTCATATGTCACATTAGGTACTTGTTCCCTTTAGAGTTGGTAGATATGAGGATGAAATTCTTTGTGATATTATACCTATGCAAGCTAGTCATCTTTTACTTGGTAGACCTTAGGAGTTTGATAAGAATGCAAGTCATGAGGGTGGTCGAACCAATAAGTATAGTTTTGTGCACAATGATAGAAAAATCAGCCTTGTACTTCTATCAATTAAGTAAGTGTATGAGGATCAAGTAAAATTGCAAAGAGAGTATGATGTGAACACTAAGAAAAGAAAAAGAGAGAGAACCAAGAGAAAATCAGCAAAGGGATCCAAGAAAATGAGGGGAAAAAGGCTAATAATGGTTTGAATCTTGAGGTAAAAACCGAGAGAAAACAAATTCTGATTGCCAAACCCAAAGATATGAGAGAGAGTTTTTGTCATCGCCGAACCCTACTTGTGCTTCTAAGCGAGGAGGTTTTGGTTCCTACTAATGACACTAAATCTTCTTTGCCAAGTTCTATAGTGTCTCTTTTGCAGGAATTTGGAGATGTATTTCTTGAAGAAGTGCCTAGTGGTTTACCACCAATTAGAAGAATCAAGTATAGAATCGACTTAATTCCTGGAGTGCCATTACCCAATCAACCAGCTTATAGAAACAATCCTGAGGAAACGAAGGAACTTCAAAGGGAAGTTGAGGACCTACTTGCAAATGGTTGGGCGAGAGAGAGTTTAAGTTTGTGTGCTGTGCCAGTTATACTCATCCTCAAGAAGGATGGAACGTGGAGGATATGTACTAGTTGCAGAGCCATCAATTCAATTACAATAAAGTATCATCACCCTATTCTTCATTTAGATGATATGTTAGATGAGTTGCATGGTGCTGTCATCTTTTCAAAAATTGATCTTAAAAGTGGATATCATCAAATTCATATTAAAGAGGGTGATGAATGGAAAACAACTTTTAAGACTAATTATGGCTTGTATGAGTGGTTGATTATGCCTTTTGGGTTAACTA